TTCCCCTTCTGCAGTTTGGCAGATGTAGCCCTGGCACTGCCTATTTTTGTGAACTTTGATATGTTTATAGCTACATGCCCACAGTAAACACCTAAGAAAGATAAGATGAACGAGGCAAAACCACACAGTATTTCTCTCCACCAATTAGAAAGGGAGAATAACTGAGATTAGACATCTAGGCATTTAAAATTTCATGAGATGAATACCAGCCTAGGACTCTGGCACTATCAGCTTCCAGAAAGTGAAAAACACTTGCTTCTAAACTGGGGTATGAATGCAGGAAAGGATATGCTGATACTCCAGCACCTGTGGTATGTTCTGGCACAGTGCCATACAGTTTTCACCATAAAATGGCTGACAGTGGGCCACGGCAGGAGGAGGAAGAGGTCTCTCTAACGCTCATGTTGCACGCCTAATGCTGCTGGGAAGTGCTGAACCTCATCTTGCTGGCAATAGTCTCCAACAGCTTGGTTAAACACCCGGAGTGCCAAGTGCAGCTGAGAAGGTTGCTGGTGGTGGCCGCACTGGTGGATGTGTGGTCTCCAACGTAACGTAGCTCACTATCCCTGGGCTCCTTTTTGCTTCTTGCCTAGAGCAGCAGCACTGCAGCTGCGTTCACTTTGCACCACTTGCAAGCTTTTCAGAACAGGCAGCCATGGCAAGCTTAGTCTGCCAAGTGAAGGGTGATACTCGTGTAAAATACTGACTGTGGCATAGATGAGTGGGAGATGCCATGAATAGTAGCAGGGATTTGAGAGGCAAGCCCTGAGAGCTATCAGGATAGATGCAGGACCTGAAACCGTTGTGCATGTACCTGAGAGCATGGCAATATCCAAAGGGCCTACAGAGTGGAGTCACTGAAGTATGCTAAAGCCAACAAATGTCATAGGGTATTGTCTCTTTACTGCTCTTTCCTACCTTTTTTGCTTTCTCTCACCTGAGAGCCTGGATTAGTCTGCCAAAAGAGCTCCACCCTTTTCTCCCCTGGGTGAGAGCCTGGAGCAAAAGAGTAAAGGAGAAACAAGTTTTTTAGAAGTGTAATGTTTTGCCAGGTCATGAAGTGGCTGCTAAAACCATGTTGTCTGGCTTTGCTTTCAAAAAAGCTCAGTCTGCCACAGTCAGAGAGAAAGGCTGCATTTTCTGTTACTTCCCTCAATTCTTTTTTCCCCTGCTCTGTTTTCACATGTCCTTTAAGGGAGACAGGATCAGCATTCAAAAGCAAAATCATAAAATTTTCCTCATAATGATATTTATAAAAATGTTCACAACATTTTAAATACCATGCAAGAAGTCTCTCAAACAGGATTTCACAGCCTTCCCCTGCATACAACTTCAGGAAACATGACAATGTGGTTGCTTAGAGGAAAAAACTTTGTATTTAAGTATTTTGTATTCTTTTTCATTCTAGCCAGTTCCAGTTTGTGGATGTCAGCTTCTTACTCTGGAAAAATCTTGATTAGAGGCATACATTTAATTTTAAAAGGAAATAATAAATTTCTAAGTGCAAAATCTGTAGAACGGATCAGCAGAAAACAGTATTCTTTTCAGAAGAACAAAAGACAGTGCTCAATCATGCCTTGAGGTCTTGAAGACAAATACAAAATCTGGATTGAAATTCTCACCTCTCTGAAGTCAACTGGACTGATTTTCAGTGACCGAAGTAAAGCTAAGATTTCATACCAAAGTCCAGAATCTTAAGAGAAAACCTAAGAAAAAAAATTTAAAACTTAATAAAACTAAAAAAAGACCAAAGGCATGTAGTTAGTTTTATTTGTGTGTACTGGGAATGCTGTGTGGATTTCTTCATGAGACTGAAACTGAACAGAATCATAAGTATTTGCAGGATTTAAGCCTAATGGTAGAGCTGGTGTTTCAGATAACCGTAACAAAAATAGCATAAGGAAAGCACTGTATTAAAACAGTAGGGTCATGTCGTGAATAATAATTTATTTGATCTTTTCAAGGGTCTAAATACAGAATTCAAATCAAATGAAATGGTTGTTTACTACTTAAAGCTACACAAATATGCATCAATGTAAATTAGAAACATTCAGCTCTGCCTACTGAATATTTTTGTTTATAAACTTGAAGAAGGAGAGGTTAAAGAACTAGTTATAAATTGACTTGGCCTTTTAGAGGAAACCCATGCTAAACCTGATCTGTCTTTAGTAACTGAGAATGTGTTTTGTCTCCTACCCTCTTCAGATTTGGTTAATATTAACACAATATGTGAAAGCGAATTCCATGCTTCACTTCTTAGTAGTTTCTAGTCTTGCAAGAGAAGGGATTGAAAATCAGATAAAGAAGATTCTGTTTGGGTACTTATTGTAAAACTAAAAGCTTTTCCAGTCCTTCAAACACTTGTGCATTTGCTTTATGCACATCAATATCATTTTGAGAAGTTCATTTTCAAGGCAGAGCACTAAAACTGCACTGGTATAAATTCCAAGATTTCAGGTTCAAGTGAAGTGACTGTGTCTTTTGTGCAGTTAGGTAATAAATTATAGTTAGCTACACGGCATTCCTAAGTCATTACAGAAATCCTTAGTACAAAAGCAAGATTATAGTTAAAACCATGATGCCTCTGAAGTTAGGTGTTATGGGTAAGGATGTTTTATGACAGAAAAAGTAGTGTTTTTTCACTGATTTGTACACCTTGACTCTGTGGGTGTTCATATGCCACTGATGGGAAGTTAAAGCAACTCCCCTACATACAGGCAGCATACAGAGCAACTGGCCCACCGGAGCCGGTGTTCCAGCCCTGGGGTGAGCCCTTTTCTGGCTAAGCAGGTAGGGGCACATTGTAGCTGAAAACACCCTCAGAAGCGCATTGCTGCTGCCTAATTGCTGCTGTTTGGCCCCTGAAGAAATCAAGCAGTCAAAGTAAGACTTGCAGCTCTTCTGTGAGGGATCCTCAAGGGTTATGACATTTCACTAGAGAAATCACAGTAACATTTAGCAAGCAGAACAACCAAAAATGGCTTTTTAGAATATTTTAATGGTTCTTTGGGCATCTGACCCAAAGTCACAGTTCAAAATAATGGATAAATCAATACCTGGGTGGGGATTTTTATAGAAAAGTATGGTAGCATGTCTGTCTGAAAACAAGAACTGTCAAAAATACCAGCTGGTATGTAGGGAGTTAAATATGGATCATTCAGCCATCAAAATGGGAGCTACTGGGGCTCACTGGACCCCAGCTGGAAACATGAGGCTGCAGGGCTCCATGGGATGAAGGAGGCAGGAAGGGGAAGGTGTGTGGTGCCGCCTTGGCCCAGGCTGCAGGGCACGGTTGTGGAGCCTGCCCTTCTGAAGTGCAGCACCCTGGATGATCTGTGGGGCAGAGGGGCTGGTGGGTACCCCGGCAGGTACATCGGTGATGTCCTGGGCTTGAGTGAGTGGTGGGGTTTTTTGGTAGCAGGGGAGGGGGCTATAGGGGTGGCCCCCTGTGAGAAGCTTCTCGAAGCTCCCCCAGCTCCAAGTCAGCTTCACCTCTGCTTGAAAACTGAGCCAATTGGCTGTGCCTCTGCGATAATGTATTTAAGAAGGGATCTGGGAGGAGGAGTCGAACTTGTGAGGAGGAGTTGCGGCAGCTGCGTGAACACCAAGGTCAATTGAGGAATGGAGAAGAAAAGTGTGGGAGCGGTGTCCCAGAGCAGGGACCCCCCTATATCCTGTGGTGAGATGGCAGGGCGGCCCCCACCACCACCCATGGAAGTCTGCAGTGGAGCAGATGCCAACATAGGGTCTATGGGGGAGCCCCTGCTGTTAAAGGTGACTGTACCCAAAGGAGGCTTGGATCCTTTGGGAAGAAGCAGCCCCCGCTGTTGTAGTTCAGCGCTGGGAAGATTGCAGCATGCGGGGGTGTCCCACGCCGGAGCAGCTCCGAAAACACTGTGACCCATGGGAGGGATTCAGGTCAAAGGAAGTTTGTGGAGGACTGTCTCCTGTGAGAGGGGGACCACGATGGAGCAGGGGAAAGAAATTCCAGCAGTTCTCCCCTGCCCAAGATTAAAGAAATGGCAGCACTGACTGCATTCCCCATTCCCTGCCTCTGTGCCACTGGGGGAAGAGATACCAGGAGCAGATCTAATCCCAGGGAGGGGTGGGGGGAAGGTGTTTTCAAGGTGTGGTAATGCTTTTCACTGTCATACACTGTTAAGCGGTGTTGTTACTGTCTGTATTAAATTTACATTCTTTTTTTTCTTCCCATAACGAGTCTGCCTTTTGCCCCTGACTGTAATGGGCGATTTATCGCTCCCTGTACCTCGAATCCTGAGCTTTTGCTTATTTTCCCCTTCTCATCACTGGGGGACGGGGGCGGTGAGCGGCTGCGTGGTGCGCAGTTGCCCTCCGAGCTCAGGCCACGACAGGCGGGTACGCCAGGACCCTCTGAGGTGCTGTCGGGCCGTTACCCGCAGCACCGCGCTCAGGCCCGACTCCACTCACAAGTGCCCCGCGTTGCCCTGACGGACATTTTAGGGTCACCGCTGCTTTGGTCAGCGCCACCCGCACCCTCCGCAGCACCCGCCGGCCGCTCTTCCGAGGGACCTGGGTGCGCCCTTGCGAGGACGCTGTGGGGGGTTTTTCGCCCCGCGGGGCGAAGCCGTGGGCGCTGCCCGGCGGCCGTGCGGGAGGGCCGACCCCCGCCTGAGGGCCCGGCCGGGCGGCCGCCGCTGTCAGAGCCGGTTGCCGTGGTGACGGGAACAACCCCCCCCCCCCCCCCCCGCCGCCGCTGCTCCGTGCCCCCGCCCCCGCAAACATGGCAGCGGCGGCGCGGCGGCTGCGGGCGGCGGCGGGAAGCGGCGGCAGGTGAGGAGCCGCAGAGCGGGGAAGGTGTCGTCCCCACGCCGCGCCCGCCTCGCCGCCGTCGCGGGCCGGGCCCTCCCCTCCCCGCACCCGGCTCCCTCAGCCGCCGGGCGGGGCCGGGGCCACCAGCAGGCCGGCGGGCGCGGCGCGGCGCGGCGCGGCTGCCGCGGGGGGCGGGCTCCCGCCACCGCCGGGCTGCGCTCCTCCCTCCCGCCCCGGGAGCGCCCGGCGGGGTGACAGCCCTGCCCTGCCCTGCCCTGCCCTGCCCTGCCCAGCCCAGCCCAGCCCAGCCGCCCCGGCCGGGGCTGCGGAGGCAGCTCCCGCTCCCGCCTCGGCCCCTCTGGCTGCCGGGACGAAGAGAGGCGGGAGCTGCCACCCCCGCGCCCGCCATGTGGAAGCTCAACAAGAGCAGCAAAGTTCTGCTGGACGACTCGCCCGAGGAGGAGGAGACGCGTCCCCGCGGCCCGCCGCCGGCCGCCGCCTGCGCCGCCGCCGCCTTCGCGGCCCCCCAGGTAGGAGCGCGGGGCCCGGGGAGGGGTCCCGAGGCTCGGCCCAGCGCCCTGCTCCCGCTCCCCTCCTCTCCGGCGGCATGAGTAATCACTTTCCTCGCCCCTGGATGTGCCGGCGGGCTCGCCGTGGTCGGGGGAGAGGGTGTTTGCGCGGGGCGTGCAAGTGTCGCCCGTTTTTTTTTGGGGTGCTGACTGGTCTGCCCTCCCCTGTTTTCTCCCAGCAGCCGGCCTCCGGCATTGTTGGGACTTGCTGTCCTTCATTCCGGCGGCTTCATATCGCGGGGCACTTTCCCTCCCAGCCCTGGGCCGGGGTCACTGCAACCCATCTGTTAAGCACAGCTCATTAAGCAGTGATTTGTAAGAACATAATATTAATTTGCGGATGTGTGCACGTTTGTGTAAAGCATTGACGTTTTGGCAGGATTGCTTATTCTATAGTTTCGATAATGGTAGTCGACTGTTGTTAAATAGCTGCAATCTTAGAAGCTTTCGTTGTTAAATGATGAGTTAAATACCTACAGCGACCTTTCCAAAGTACTGGTCGCCTAACAAACACAACCTGAAAGGAAGGGTATCGGTTGAGCATCAGGCAAAACAACTAAAAGAATCTTTGTTGACTTGCTTTCAAAAACTTGATAACAATTAGGCATCAGTCCAGCTCAGAAGCCTGTTACTGCTTCGTTGCTGAACTGATCTGTTGTGGCCACGGAGTATCTTGAGATGTTATAGGAGAGGTTGCAGGAGACCTGCATATCCAAAGCAAGCAGTTGCCCAGGGCTGCAAACTGATGAGGTTTGTATTCAAAAGAAGGTACAAAAACCCACCCAACTTCCTGCCCTATGGCTGTCTTGCCTACCTTGCTGGAAGGGCTGGAATGTATCTGCATAATCTACCTTCTGCTTGAGTTTCCGATTGCCAACATGTGTGGCTGCTGCTGAAAAGCAGCCTCTCCCAAATGTAGTAGTTATTCCCTCCATCTTCCAGTAGCCAAAATCACCAGTCTGCTCCCCAGTTCAGCCTTGCCTTGTTCTTTACCCTGCTCAGTGAACGGAAGAGACCTAAGCTCTTGCTACTTGTTTGACAGCAGCTGTGGAGATTCATATGGATGAATAGGATCTTCTCCTGTGGGAGAGGAAGATCATATACTTATTTTGGAGACTATCTTCAAGGGATGAGGGGGGACTGTGGGGTTGGAATCGACCTGAAGTATTTCCCACAACCTCTCATAACATCTCCCTCCTACAGTTCCTATCCTCAGGTGCTCGGAAGCTTCCACTGTTTTCACTAAACTGCTGGCTTGTACTATCCACAGCCCTCCTAGACTTGCTTAGCTCCAGAAACCCTCCTTGAACACCAAAGGTCACCGAAAGCTTCCAGTAAATCTCACTGACTATTCACAGCTTTTCTTCTCTACCACAAATGCTCCAAACCCCCTCTGAGGCTCCTGACCTTAGCCTCCCAGTCAGTAGATGATTCTTCAGACTTCTGTCTTAACAATTCTCCCAATCCTGTACTTCAGCAATAGAGGTTGGGGGTTTATATGTTTGTTTATTTGGTTTTTCTTTTTGTCCTCTTCGATTGGCTTTACTGTCCTGGGCTTCTGTTCCATTAATGGTCTCAAGTTGAAGATGGTGATTTCTGGTGCAAATGGTTTGCCATTTTCATAATTTTTAAAGAAAAATCCTTTCCAATTCCCACAGTGTCTATTACCAATGGCACTGGAATAAAAGATGCTTTTTTGGCATTGGAGGTGGCAGGGGAAAAATAAAGGCACTAATTGAAAAATTCTTGAAGATAAAGGATTCAGAAAAGTTAGCAAGGCTGTAGTGTAGCTTGGCACAGAAACTGGGGTGAAGACCACAAGCTACTAGTTGTTTTGCCCCTTAAAATCAAGAAGATTTGACAACTGGGGGGAAAAAACCCCACCTCCCCCCAAACATTTAAATGTAGTTATTTTAGAGTTTATGTACACTTTAAGGAGGGATAGACTGTATGGAAAACGATGATTAGCACTGGTTAACATTGTAATTCTCATGATCTATCAAAGGCAGCCTCTATAGGTACGGTATGTGTAGAACATGGCTTAGGTGTCAAGGAGAAAGTGTGAGGTAACAGAACATGCTTGTTCAGGTTGTTATAGCTGATATGGTTCAAGGGCCTTGCTTTTAGTCTTTGATGTTTTTGATGTATCATAAGAACCTGGTTTTGCTCCCAATAATACGATTGCAAGGGAGTGAAATGCAATAAAATGCAGGGGGATTTGGTAATGACCTGCACTTTGCTGCTTCTCTGTTCTGACCTGCATCACCCAAACCCCTGACTTTTGAGGACAGTAGCCGCTCCAGAGCCTGGAGGAGTTATGGGGCCAGTCCTCTTGGTACCTTAGCAGTGCATGAGAAAGTCCTGGTCTTCCTCAACCTCTACGCTGTTTAAGTTTTCACGGTACAGCCTGCTTAAACTGTGAATAAAGGAATACCTCATCAACAAGAAGACAATCCAGGACTTCCCTAATTCCCTGTCTTGAGGGCCAAAATCCAAATCATTTGTTTGAGTGCTTTTTAGTAAATGAAGAAAGCCCAGCATTAGACTTCATGCAGAAGTTTACTGTTAGATTTCATTTCCTTCTTTTCTGATATGTCATTTGGTAAAAGAGAAGGTGAACTGTAGTCATCCCATTCTGACTTTGATTTATGATATGTTGCTTTCCCCAACTGTCTTCTTGTCTTTATTTTCATTTTTAATGGGCAAGTGGGAGGAAAATACTTAAGCTTCTACAATTCATGCTATAAATAATGCTGAAACTTTTTATTTCAAGGGAAATAAATTGGTAGTCACATCTGTGTCATTAAAACCGACCAGGTTGAAAGTGTTCAGTGTAATGAAATGTTGGTGCTATATGTTGTTTCTTCAAAGCTGAGAAAAGTTAGTGAGGGAGTTCTCACTGGGCAACCTAATAATTAGGACATTGCAGTAGCAGACAGCAACAAAGAATTAGGTTACTATAAGTTAAAAAAAACCTCAAAACAAAACATAAAACTTTTGTTACTCTACAGAAAATTTAACCTTCCTATTTAGATATGGAAGCCTGAGCTTGGCTTAAACAATCAGGCATTTGAATTTGTAGTTTCATAGTTCTTAAATACAAAAACTTAGTTTGATCTAAAAAGAGAAGTTTTGACAGTTCTGGTTTTGTGGAATACAGAATGGTTTGATTTTGTTCCAGGGGAGAACAAAAACAAATTTTAGAACATGAAAATTGCAATGGGAGGGAATTGTCAGCCTCTGGCCACTTTTTAGCAGAAGTTTCTGCATACATTCAAGTACTTTGAATTGTTAACACTTATTTAAAATAGTAAGGTGTTTCCTGAGATAAGAAAGACAAGTAAATTTTGAAACAGTACTTGTATAAATAAATGTGTGCATTATTGTATATTTTTTTTAGACCAGACAGTTTCAGACTGAATCTTAGAAGTTAATTTATGCTTTGAAGCATAACTGTTTTTAATATATGCAATGAAGGTGCTTTATTGGCTAAAGTTACAATTAATACATGAAGGCAACTTGACACACATAAATAGCATACATGTATAAAATGAAATTAATGTGCTTTTGGTATGTGTCTCACAAAATATGCTAGAAATGTACAGTGATGCATGCCAAACTTGCATTCAGCCTGTAATATAGTCATTATGTTTCAAACTGTAGTTACATTTTTAGAAAGGCAAAAATGTTGGGTTTTGACTTCTGGAAGGCAATGTTTTGGCAGCTGTGCAAAGTTCTCCTTGTTTCAATCCTTCTATCATCTAATCAGTCCTCAGAGATGTCAATGCAGTGTTGATATCACATGTAACTGACGTAAAATGGCGCTCAACTTTAAAATACAGCTATATATTTGGTTGGTGGATGAGTGTCAGTCTGACCTATATTATCTTCTGCAACTTTATCTTTCATGTAAAAATATTTTAGATCCTTAGCCTTAATCCGTTTACCCCATTTTTTTTTGTTATGTTCAAAGAGAATATGTGCAAAAACATGTTTTATGATGAATTTTGTTTAGACTTGCTCACTGAATCTTTTAAAGTTGGCTATACAGAATTTTAGTTATCTATTTTAATGAAGATGTTTAAGTCTGGTACAATTTTAATACTGGCTTTCATCTTGGAATGAGTAGAACTCAGACAGGCCCTGCAGGAATGGGTGGGAGCTGAGCAGCGTTTCTTGTGTTCTACTAATAGGTTGAATAAGGGTATTTTTTAATTAAAAAAATAAAGCAGTCAGTGTTAATCCAGCTAATGCCTTTCCTTCACTTTCTGACCAATTCAGTATGTCTCAGGCTTTGCCTGCAGTACTCTTAGAATTCCTTCATGCCTTCTCCTCTTTGCTAGCCTGTTTTTTTCCTTTCATCAGAGTTGTTCTTGTGACATTTCAGTGACATTTCCCTGGCTCAAATCCATCACCTGTATTCTGTCATCATTCTTGAATATTAGATTGTGGGACTGACAGCAAAGACTTTCCCGAGCCCTTCCTTGGCCTGCCTGTCTTGCTTTTCCTCCTTCTTGTCACATTCATCTTTCGGCAGCTTCTTGAGTGGGTCCTGTTTCTTTCTCACAGTCTTCCTGGAGCTCTGCGGAGCTGATGGTATTTTTTGGGGCTTTAGACTTTCTCTTTTTTTAATCCCTTTCATTTCTGAGGTGCTTCATGTTCTGATTTATACTGTCGTCTTTACACAGTTGACCCGGATCAGATCTGCTTCTCACCTCTTACCCGATCTCTGTTGGTTTATTCTGACTGTTAGAAGTCCTGCAAAGCAGATATTGTCTGGTTGGTCTCCTACTGTATCCTACATCATCAGTATCTGTCTTTTACTTTTAGCCAAGCCTATAAGCTGAAGGTTGTCAGTGGCCTTTATCTATTGTGCGAAAGAGAATTTGTGTCCAATACTTTACTGCTGTTTTCTCTATAAAGTCCAGGTCTGCCTTTTTTTTTTTTTTTTCCAATTATTG